TTATGTTTGTCTTGATTAAGTTATACTATATTTGAATTGCATTGCATCTCATTTTCTATGATGCTGCCAGATATTTAATTATTGGATGGTTCCCGAGAATATCATTTAAATTTAAGATTGTCTGGATGTACAGTATGCATCCCACCACTACCAATATACACTGTTATCTATTAAAAGTATGACATTGATGTGTTTCATAGAATTATTTAAGCTGGAAAAGACCCTTAAGATCATCAAGTCCAGCTGTTAATGTAACACTGCCAAGTCCACCACAAAACCATGTCCCTGAGCACCACCTCTAAAATACATCCAGGGATGGTGAATCAAGGCAGCCTGTTCCAATGCCTGACAACCCCTTCAGGGAAGAAATTTTTCCTAATATCGAATCTAAACCTTCCCTGGCACAACTTGAGGACATTTCCTCTTGTCCTATCACTTTTCATTTGGGAGAAGAGACCAAGCCCCTCCTTTCTGCACCCTCCTGTCAGGTAGTTGCAGAGAGCGATAAGGTCTCCCCTCAGCCTCCTCTTCTCCAAGAATATGAGTATTATGTAATATTCAATAATAATCAAATTATTAGTTATGAATATTCATAAAATATTCTTCCATTTACTAACTTTTGCCAAGAACTGCATCCATAGTGTTAATTTTTAGCTGGTAAAACTTTTCAAGTGTGCTTTCATATTTTGTTATTAAATATATCACAACATGCTAAGCTGGTTTTCAATGCATGAAACCATAAGAAAACTTAGATTGAGGCCACCTTGGAAAGAGGAAAAATACAAAAGTTCTTTTAGATCACAAAGCTGAACACTGCAAGTTAAGGGATTCCCTATTTTCCCCTTAAAACATGTATGTCTGAGATTTGTGAAAGACAAAGCAACTTCCAGTGCAGCAGACATGTAAACTCATCTTTTATTCCACCACAGTCCATAATTCAACTGGTAAGCATTGTGAAGTACCAGTCCTGTGTCTCCCAAGAAGGCTAAATTAGAATATATCAGTGTATATACCCACATTATATTCTGTTGTGCTGAACTGGTAAACCACACCGTGGAAATTACCATCAAATCCAAATTATCTACCTATTTTAATGCATCTCTACTGGTTGCAGAGACCTACAGAGGTTTATCAAGAAAGATTCCATTATTGCCCTTACATCACCTACACATACTACACCAAAAAAAAAAAAAAAAAATCAGGGAACTAAAAAAATAGAAATATAAAAGATATTTAGTATTTTATGGGAACCCTCCAGTCTATTACTTACAGGAACTATAAATTGTCAATATTTCTTTATGATGCTACTTAAATTCAGCTTGAAAAATAATTTGTCATTTTCAGTAAAATAGACTAGCTTCCCTTACTCACATTTTCACAAACTCTCCCTTAATTAGGACTGGCATGGAAGTATTTGTCTTAGCAACCTAATGCACCTTATTAAAACATTGTTTGATACTCAGATCCACTTATATGTTGTAGTAACACGTTATACTCACATATATCCAGTTTGATAAGAAATTTGCACGTTTACTAAAGAAAAACTCAATCTCATTCTAAAAAATCAGAATTAATCATGTTACAAAAAAAAAAATCAATACACATCAAAACAACTTTATCATTGGTGGCCAGACGTTTACCACTAGGAAGATTGACTATGCTCTAGAAAAGCAGGGAGGCACTTATGGAAAATGTAGTCAGCTCAATTAAATCTACTAAAATATCATGATTTTTCAGCAGCATTACAGCTTTTTCTTTTATTACAGGAAGTACACTTAGGCAAAATATATTCAGTGTGCTTCAAAAAAAACCCCGATTAAAACATGTTTTAAAACAGCTCATTTGAAAGAACAGTTATCTGCAGAAACAGATTCTCTTTTTTAATTTTACTTTGGGCACTGCTTTTTTAGCTCATGATTAGAAATTCTTAAATGCGTAAGTTAAACATAGTCTGACTTACTTTCATATCTAGACTGATGCTTGGGAAGTTGTTATAAAAAGCTAAAAAAACCCCTGCAGTTACCACTTTAGATATGAAAGATTCAGAAATCGTACACTCTAGAGCTTGAAACCACAAGATCCCCATCAAGTTTCACAGGGTAGGAGGCAAATTGTCATTAAATTCTCACTCACATCACTCTAAAATGTAAAAAATAAATAAATAAATACAAAAACCTCTAAGATGTGGCTAGCTATATGGTTTGCTGGCATTTCATTCTTCAATGATAAAATATGAGAAAGATAAAGCTGTATTCCATTTTAAAAAAATAGAAAACATAATTATATAATTTGGGTTATTATAGCTCAGATATAATTTGCTTTTCATTCAAATAACCTTTAAGTATGCTTTTTAAAGTAAGAACTTACAGCAACAGGGACTCACAATCATGACATAAGACTCTCCATTTTCCTCATTAAAATATTGAATGAGTCACACCCCCACATTCTGGGAAATGGAAAAAAAATAGTTCTTTCTGAGTTAAGAAACACTGAGATTCCTTTAGGATGAAGCTCAGATTTTTTTTAAAACTTGTTGGCTTTCCACAAACTTCCACAGTGCACAGCACAATTGCAGGGCAGAGGATCTCACCGTCTACCCTGGTGCTACCCACGGCAGTAGCACAGCTGGAGGAAATAAAATTCCTAAAACAGACTATGATGCTAAAAATAGCAACTCATTTTCTTCTAGTAGCCATAGCCAAGAGACAGGATTTTTTTTTTTTTTTTCCCCACCTGATAAGCTACAAGAGATCTTAAAGGATGTTATCTTGGCTATTTTTCCCTCTTGGTTGAGCTTTCAGAACCATCACATGGGCCACTCTCTATTGTTAGCTTCTTTTCAGGATGGCATGACAGTTCTACAAAAGAAGCTTTAAGACCTAGAGAAAACATAAAGGAGAGTGGGACGGAAAAAGATAATTATGTATAATTGGAATTTCTGTTCCATCTGTACTGAAGGCTGCATGGGCTGCGCTGAATCAGGCAGAAGATACAGAGGATACCAAGTAAAGCACTGAGTATTTAATTTGTATCAGCCATTTATGAAAGCTTTTCTGCCTAAAGTTGCTTGGAAAAGGACAGGCTAGAAAAAAGATACAACACCAAAAAACAGCACCAGCATAGGGATTTTTATTCATATTTTTTCTCATTGAATTCCCATCTGATCTGTGGGTCTGTATATGCACAAGAGGAAGAAATGGCAGGGATTTGACTTCCCTTTCAGTGACTGCTTCTAACCCAACTCTATTCAAATTGTACGTTCAAAAACTGGCTTTCTAGGGGTTCATGCTTCTCCATACCCCTATTTAAATTGTAAATCATCTATCCAGCAGAACACATCATACACCCCACTGCATTACTTTGTAATTCCAAGCTGGACCAACATGGTCTGAAAAGCAAAAGCTTTCCTGATCTCCTCCTACTTGCCTGGGCCAGTAAAATCCAAACAAAACCAAACAAACAAAAATTATGCTTTCAGCATATCACCTCTTAGCTCTGCCATGGGTAACTGTCATCTTGCAGGCCTAGAGAAGGGCATACAGATGAAATACTTGCAAATCAGTGCTCAGAATGGATGTAATTGTCCTATTGTATATGTCCACTGATCATCGAGACATGGCATTTCCTCCATACAAAACAACCACTGCAGGGAAAGCAAGAACAGAATTATCATTAACAGCTTCTACTGATAAGTCTATAGTTTATAGCCCTGCTAGATCCAATATTTCAGGCAGAAAGTCTTTTTGAAAGGTAACAACTCTGCTTTGATTTCATGGCAATGATACGGTCTTAAGAAGCCACTGAAGATGAAGAGAGCAAATCACATCAGACAGCTTTTATTCTCTATTTCTTCAAAAATTACAGTCCAGGATAGCATTTGTGAGGATGACAGAGGTAAGACTTTCCCTCACATAAAAGAAAATCTTACCCATACTATTTTTTTCAATAATATCTGTAATTTTGCTGCACTTCCACTGTTGAGACATGTGACAAAACGACCTGCCCCTTGAAAAGGGGGCTCGGGAAGAAGGTGAGAAAATGAATAGTCCACATGTTGCTGTTCCAGTCTTTAAGAACTCCATCAGCCTCAAAGTACATGGGCTTTTCCACTTTAAAAAATTGACTACCTTTAAAATCACCAAATTCCCAGAAAGATAGACACAAGAGAGTAAATCAGACCAGAAACCTTTCAGAATAATTTCTTTTCAGACTAAGTGAAAGCTGAAAGACTGCATAAATGGTATTTCACCTAAGCCACAACATGATGGTCAAGAGATGATGTTCATTTTCTATGCAGTAATATTTGATTGCCAAGGACAGAAGGCACCGCATTCCCTGGGCTGAGGCGAGTTGTCTCTGGTCATTACACCTGGCAGCTTCACCAGATGCAGAATGGGGAGTTGTCCATTGTATGTTCTGAGGTCGTATTTGCTCTTTCCCAGGAGGTCTAGGGACTGCTGACCTTTTAGGATTGTGGGTGCAATCTTTCAGGACAAAGACAGGTAACACTGGGAGTGTCCTCAATGGTACACAATGCTGTGTGGCTGAGGTCAGCTATTCCCTTCTCTTTTCACATTAAAGAAAACCTATCAAAAACTGTGCAAGTGTGATCCATAGGCTGGAGACCCAAATGTACCACGTATTTCCTTTAGTTCAAGAGATTTTGAAAGGTCATGGAGACCCAAATGTACCACGTATTTCCTTTGGTTCATGAGATTTTGAAAGGCCATGGAGACCCAAATGTACCACGTATTTCCTTTGGTTCACGAGATTTTGAAAGGCCATGGCCAGGGGTGGTCATTGTCATTCGTGAGTAGTGTAAAGTTTGACATTAACAGGAACAGGCCAAGACTTAGAATCATTGTTAATGACAACATCTTAATGATCCTTAAACTTCCTATTGCTACTGATACTCCGTTACTGAGAGTTATCTAAAAATAAGCTTCTTTTAAGTTAATCAGTATGCAAAATACAGAAAGTCCTTCTTATTTCTTCCCTAGGACTACACCCTGACCATGTACTTCCAGCAGTCTTGGAGGGATAAAAGACTCTCTTATTCTGGAATACCTTTGAACCTAACTCTGGACAACAGAGTGGCTGACCAGCTCTGGGTGCCGGACACATATTTCCAAAATGACAAGAAGTCATTTGTCCATGGGGTGACAGTGAAAAACCGAATGATTCGACTTCATCCAGATGGGACAGTCCTTTATGGCCTACGGTACGTTCGGGTTTTTAACTGGATATATGGCTGGCCAGACAGGATGCAAGCTGAGATTGGTAAGTGCAGATAGTACCAATGCTGCTGTTCTCTCCTTTTTCCTGGGTTCCCAGGACAGCCTTATGAGTCAGCAAATACTCCATCCAAAGCACCACAATACATCCAAGAACTTTCCTCAGGGCATCAAAACTACCTTTAATAGCTATGTCCATAACTAACATAGCCTAATGCGTCTCTTTCTTTTGGCTCCTCTGAGCATGTTAACACTGCTAATGAGTTCTTTACTACAGTTCTCACCTGTAATCAATCATAGCTTAGACAAACACTCTGACTTCCTGAAATTTCTCCAACAGTTCCTTAGAACAATGTAAAATATAAAATTGGAAGCCATCTGAAGAAATGTGAACGGCATTTGGTAGGGAATAAAAAGAAAAAATTTACATGAATTAAGGGTTATCTGTACATCCAAGTACAGGTTTTCTTTAGTCTACGCTGATTTATCACTGCCTCTTTACACCACAACTGCTTCTTCATACGGTACAACCTATGTTCACCCCTGTAGACAAAAATATATTCTAAAATCTCAAGAGGCACAATCTAATGATGAGGTACACAAAGATAAAATTAAAACTAAACCAAGTTATTTGTTATGTTGAGGTTACTGCAGAGCCTGAGTAGGCTTTGCATTATTTTTAAAGTTAAGGTAGCTTTGCCTGGAAAACTCCATCGCCTGCTGGAAACAAACCTTTGATCACTTTTATCATTCAACAGCGAAAATAATGTACAGAGAATATGAACCTGAAAGTATACTTCAGTTAATCGGAAAAACATCATAAAGCATAACACCTAGCTGAAATATCTCAAAACGGTACCTAAGGATTGAAAACATAAAAAACTGCTGCAGCAGTTCAAAATGAGAGCAATATTTGGGGAAAGATAACTTAGCACATACCGAAAATTTTGAAATGACGTCTTAGCCTATAAAAACATAACCTTTTAAAATACATTGCCTATGCACTCAGAAAAACCCTTCCAACCCATCAATTCAAGCTTCACAAAAAAACAAAAATAATTTAAAAATTACTATTTTGGTTCATCATAATTTTTCTTTTGAACTTGTCAGATTCACAGGCACTGCATCAGTCACTACCAAGGACCACACAGGCACTTTCCTACAGCCTGAGCTGTTCCAGTACACAAAAAACACTACTTCAGTTGTGAAAGAAAGCAGGGAACCCATGAGGAAATAGCTGACAGACCACAGGTAGTCATTATCACCTGCTAAACGGAGCATTTGAAAAACACATCTTTCCCATTGCCTTCAGACCTCCTACAGTCCCTTTCAATCAAACTAACTCCTGAAAATCAGCTTAGCAGGGCAGTGTAATTAGAGGACTTTTTGGCCTGAGAACTTTTAATTTATTGGGTTTTTTTAAGGCCAGGAACTAAATTTATGTAAATTCCAGGATTTGCACAGTGGCAAGAATGTGCATTAGAGCCAAGTAGTTCATCACAAGCAGTTGTATGCAATACAAACTACACCTAGAAACATACGCCATGCATGTACTACCATACATGTGCTATACATCTGATATCTATAACTGTCTTCTGCAGAGGTAGCAAAAGCAGCTGTGACACATCTGGTGAATCTACCACAAGTCCTCTCATGTGCTACATCCACAAAGCACCAAGCTGGACAGAGAGCTGTGACCCTGCCCAAGCATAACGCCTGTGCTTTTCATCTGAGGGATGCTCAGGCAAACCTCCAGTGCAACAGCAAAGACTGTCACCTTCCCATAAGGAGGTTGCTAGTTCGTATGATTCAATAACCATTTGTGTTTGAATAGTTAAGCAGCAGCTCTGCAGCAGCTGCCGCTCTGCAACTTCATACCCCATCCAATACCTCACTGCTCTCCGTAGGAAAACCAAACAAAACCAACGCCACAAATAAACAGAAAAAGCCCACACAAGCATGAGGAGCAATCTAAGTTCCACACACTTACAACTCTAGTACTGGGCCATTGCCTTCTCCTCCCTCAGCCCTTAACGCGCACCGGCACAGGAGCAACCTGGGGGTCTCCCAGGTTTCTGGGCTTCCCCACCTTCTCACCCCAGAGAAGGCAGCAGGGGTGCAGGAGCACCAAATATTGCCAGGTATGCTCACACCTACTGACGGCGTTCTCATAACCAACCACGTGCAGAAAGAGATGCTCAGCTGTCAGGTCTTTTGCACAGCTCAGGCTGACGCGCAACGTTTCCTCCGAGGACGAGGCAGCTATTTAGACATGTGGTGAGCAGACGTTGGTCTGTCAGCTGCCGGTGAAAACACTTGTAATGTCCCCATCCCACAAGAAAGATCTGGTCTAAGACAAAGATAACAAATGAGCGGGAGAAAGAAGGAAGTTAAGAGACACTGAAACAGGTTTCATACAACAGATGGCAGTGACTGCACTGTTCGCATCTATTAGCGGTCAGTGTTCTCATGGTAATAAATATGCCCATAGGTTACCTTTAGGTCATACAAACAGCAATTTCTTCACATACCAGATGACACATATGCCTCATAAGAAAGAAAACACTCCAGAAAATGTTCTTAGGTAAAATTCAACATTGCCTGCTAGAAAATTGAGCACAGCTCCAATCTCCGTCTGACACATAGAGAAGAAACTGTGCAACATATTAGCTTGCATTTAGCTTCTATACAGTAGAGCGTGAGAAGACAGTATCGCCAAACCTCTCACAGAGCAGCTGCGAGTTTCACGTTCTTTGCGAAGATGGAGCGCTGGCCTGGCATGGCTTGAACAAGACATACAACACCAATTACGCTGCAGACCAGGATCTGAGTTCCCAGCAAATTAGGCAGGGCCTTAAACCATCTCTCAAGGATGATTTAAATGCCTGCTTTCCCCCATACCTCCTATTCCCCGCACAAATTTCCTATTTTCAGTCCAGAATTAAATGTGTCTTTGCAGGCTCAGACGTGAAGTTTTACTGGCTTCTTTAAACAGGAATTGGAACACTCACAAGAGCTCTAAATACCCTGCTTTGCTTGCATCCGTGTACTTGGCAGTTCAGCATTGATGTGATGTTCAGTCTCAATAGAGTTGAGGAAAAATAAAACAAGGTTAATCATCTGGCTTTACAGATGAATAAACAAGGGAAATATGCACTGAATGCACTGGACTGGTTTTAGATCTTATAGCAATGGATTATCACTGCAGTATGTCTCCATTATGATATTATTTTTATGATGAAATAAACAAGTCTCTTTGGCTATTTTTTTGCCAGTAACTTTCAGCTGCTATATCCCCACAGTTCAGAGAAGGACGTGTGCATATAAACTTGTACAGACACAGAATCCTCCTAAACCTTCTGCCCTCTAAAATTGCACATTGCTCGTCTCTTACTGCAAATGTCACTTCTGTTAATTATTCACAGTAGTGAATAATGCGTAACATCACTAACCAAGAAATTCTTTCATCCTATTGCCTAAGCAAGTAAACACACATAAACATATTTAGCTCCACGTTAATATTTCCGCTGAATTCCATTTCAAATATGTGAGGGAAGTTGAGTGTCACTGCTAAGAATTATGTACCTGAAGTGCACGATTCTGCGGTTCCTATCAAGCACTCCCACCAGCAGCTATTATTATTCTCTGTGGTGTAGCCACCTGCTTCCGAAGAGAAAGAAAAAAAAACTCCCTTTGAGCCAACGTGCAAACCTGCAGCACTGTGAGGCTGGTGTCCGAGACAGCTCTCGCCTGGTCCCATTACAGGTGGTAGAACACTGGATTCTTCTTTACTTTTTCCTTGTTATTAATAAATCATCAGATCCCATTAGCTATAGTCCTTTTGGCACTAACAGCATGTCTCATTACTTTATTGCCTTTTCAGGCAAGATTCCCTAGAAATCTCTCCCAAAGCTCTAGATTCTCAAACCAATAGAGGCTGTTCTGTTCTTTTCTTGTCCTCTTTCGTTGGTAAGATGCTAGAAATACAACCTATATTTAAGGAAACATTATTAATTTATTGTACTAAATTCCATATTCAAATCCTTATGTTATGATGTCAAGGACAGAAGCTCTGATTTAAATCATCCTTTCCCAGTATTTTTATGCCACCTCTTAATTCTCAGCATTCCACTAGCAGAACAAGGACATCTTTCTGCTTCTGAGACATCTGTTCTGTTACCATGGCACTGCCTCAAAATAAACATCAGCAGAGTTTCATCTGGTGTGGTGAATGCAGCATATCCTTCAAAAGTATTAGTTGTTAAGAAATGCAACCTACCTGGTACTTTTATAGAGACTTCCCTGCCTTCTGATGTTCAAACACAAACCCTGCTTTCCTTAGACCTTCATTTATTTCAAGGCAAGGGGGCTGAGCATATTGCCACAAGTATGTGAAGGTCTGGCTTGGAGTACTGAACCTTTGGTTTTAGTGAGGCCACGCATTTCTGTTCTGCTGCAGCAGAGGATGCTGCTTTGCTAAGCACTGCTACAACTGCAAGGGGATGGGGGCGGAAGGATGATCTTTGCCTTCAACATAAGGACTTATTTCACTGCTTCTTACACAAAGGAGGTCTTCTGTGATGTAAACGCTGTCAGTCAGACACATCCATCTACCTCCAACCAATTCACAAATGTGAACTGACCCATGCAACATTAGCTTTACTAACCACTTACTCATGCAATGTCTGTGGAAACCCTTCTAGCATATCCTAAAGGTGGAATACAAAACAAGCTACAAGTATTCTGCATTTAATCTTTAATCTTGTATTCTGCATATAATCTTAAAAGTAAATTAGAGAGTAAACTTCCCTTCTTGACTGTCTCTTATTTCGGTGACATATCCAAGGGTGTTGTTAAAGACATTTGCTAGCCAGAATCTTACATCTTTTAGTGCAGTGAAATTTCACTGCTTTGTGGATTGGTTTTGTATTGCCATGATTTTGGGCTATGGAGTTTTGTTTTTTCCTCCAAATACCTTCATAGATTT